GTGCTACGTTCATGGAAGGCATTTTTAGTAAGTATAATTATTCCAGCGATTTCAGTCATCGGATGAATCTTGTATAATAGTGGAGTACTCCAGTAATACAGTTGAGCTACGTATGCAAGCTTTTCTAGGCCTTCCATTCATGGAAATCGCCTTTAACGTTCACAGTCACACTGAGATCAGTAAAATCGTATCATAATCATCAGCCAAACACCAGTTCACGGAAAGATCAAGAGCCTGTGGATGTGAACAAAGAACGTGCAGTCCGATTGAAACAATAAGGATACTCCTCTACGACATTAGGAAGGCTACAGGTAAACATCGGTCAAGTGTAGAGAAATTGCAAAATCATTACTTTTAAAGTTTATTTGACTAATTAGTAGTAGGCAGTTCTAATTTTCAAAAAAGTAGTGCCGACAGAAGCTCGTGCCGCTTGAACTAAGTTTGGTAAAAAGACCACTGAGGGGCTACAAAACATGAAGTTCCTCGCAGCACAAAGTTATAGTGTCTTCGAATTTTTGTGAGTAGCATCAATAAGCGAGTTAGATGAAAAGTTCATGTTTGAATTTACTATAGATGGGTCTTCGCTTTTTGGCCATGAGAGAAACGAGTTAAGGCTCAATTCATACAAATCTCATGCCTACTTGGCGCCTAAAATTGTAGATCGCCTTTAAGCATCAAGGAAAGATAGGCAAAGAGTACTTTTTCTGGAAGATGAAAAGCGCATAACATAATGACGGTCGGTTATTCATCATATGAAAGCTTACTCAAGAAAGCCTTTTTATCATGTTAGACTCCATGCTCAAATTGAAAATCTGGTTCTAAGTCACGAATATCAACCGGATCAACAAACAAGATTTTATAAAGACATCTAATAATTCAAAATACTTATATGGTCGTGAGTCATATATTGTAGCTTTTCTTGTAAAAAAAAAATGTAAATCTTTTCATTCACTTCGCTATAAACTGCCAGTGCTCTGTAATGAAAGCTATATTACACCACGACCTGAAACTCTGTCCTCTGAAACACTGTTGGTACACCTTAGAACTCACCGAAAATGTCCACAAAAGACACGCAAAGCTATATTTTAATCTTTTTAGATATAAAAAGAGGGAATCGTTATTCCCAGTTGAAGCAACCACATAGGGACGAATTGTCAGATTGTTTAAATGCATCGGAAACAGCATCTTGTCTGATGTGCCACCATTCCGAGGCTCTGAAGCGTACTATCATTGCCAAGGTTGTTGCCGAGGTACTGGCAGTCTTGGTTACGAAGTCGCACACAGGTTCCCGCTTCTAACGAAACAGCGTCACTGAAACCAGTCTCTGGAAATGATCTTATTTACGAGATAATATTTTTACGCTAGATGACGCACGATCAGGCTTACTTACCAAAATCTACTAATCGTCCTACGTCCTCGACCTTTTATCAATGGAGGCAAAATAGTTTGTCGATGAGCGCGCAATTAGTGTTATGTCTTGTGGAAAGAATTAAACACGTTTTGGTTGATAGATCCATGTGAGTTGTTATGTATCTGAAACCTCTGGTTGCTTCATTTTGCTGAATAATAACTCTTTATCTTGAAACGTATATATAGAATGCCATGAGGAATAGAGGGAAATGCCCATAATGTCAATCAGATTTGTTGACGTTTAACCCAATTTTTAGGAAGCGCTAACAGAGCTGAACACACCGAAGATTGATTTATTCCTTATGTGCACTATTGCAGTGCTTATTTATAACTTTTATAAATGATTTGCTTATGCAAATATGCCGGAAAGATGCACGGCGAAAATTAGCGAAGCCCTCTATTCTACGAGACGACTATACTTGATGTATTGTATATAACAGCGTACTACAAAAGTCATTACATATCATGAGTGTATCGGCGTTAAAAGATTCCAGTCCTTACAAAAAAATCTATACACATATCTCTAAGTTTGTGAGATAACGTTTTTTTTTTATATTGTATATGCGATCAGGATTGCCTTATTTAAAAGCAGTCATTTTCTATTTCTTGAACTGGATTTGAACTGAGAAAATCCATTGTGTCGAGCTCCGGACAGACTTCTTTCCCAAGCAGAAGTCCCTGTATCAGATGATTTGGCGTACATACAATATAGTGCACATCCAATGTATCATCACGGCGAATTAAGTGGCATGGTTTATATAATTATTTTAATTCACACATCGATAGTACTGACTTTTGCCTCCCCCCATTTATCTCACTAAGGTAGAAATCCTTATTATTTCCGTAAATTAGGTATTCATTGTTTCTTGTCGTTATCCACGAACTGCTAAAATAATATTAATAGGAGAAGAACTCTAAACCCATAGTCAGTCGAATTGCGTTTGCCAGAACTCACATCCCGTTTCTTACCGACCATCAAGTTGCAGTCAGCACGTTAGACATGCGTACAGAACGAAATAGGTTAGGTTACGAGCAACCAACCAAACTGAATTTGAAAACCCTATCTGCTTTGTTTGAGTGCGGACCTTGGACCTTCCTTTTCGTTCTCGAGTTGAATACACACGGGCGCCCCTTGCCTAACTGGTATGTTGCGGTGTTCGGACGTTAACATTGAACAAATCTTATTCACCTGTTGGGTAGCTTCAGTATGCTGTTAAACAGAGATACAGGTTATATTCCTGCCAGAAGAAAAGCGGTAGAGCGTCCAATGAACTCTTTTCGATAATCTATGATTTGAGTCTGCATTGGAATCTCCGTCGGCTGGAGCTCACAGTTCGACTATTTGATATAAAACGCTTTCTTTTGCCAACCAAGTGATTCATCGCTGTTGTTCAATGAATACTAGCCATCAATTTGTCCCTAGTGCATTTTATTAGGACTACTTGGAAAGAATGATTATTCCCCGGCGAAGGAGATTTCTCGGATTTTTGCGCATGCTATAGCAAACGCTTCGGTGATTCAATAGAAATGTTTTGTGAACGCTAGTCGGAATCATTGCTCGTAACATCCTGTGAAATGCATGAATGTGGTTAAAACGTTTTGTAATATTTTGTGAGCCAATGTTATTCTCTTGTTTCGTTAGTATATACCTGTTCTTATGGGAAATTAACTGTTTCAGAAAGCAAGGGGATGATTGCTCCTTGAAGCCTCACCAAAAAAAGATAGTTTGGAGAAGAACATGCAACGATTTCAAGAATCGCTGTTTCTATTATAAGTAGAAGAATCGGAGAAAGATGCAGTAGATGTATGTTCAATACATTGCGAAACTTTCCTTGAACTTAATCACCTATACATAAATACTTTACCACTAAGCAATATTATTTAACTTGCGGTAGAGAGGTCTTAGCGCATTTTCATCTTCCAGATTCCAACACGAACCGTGAATAATTCAAAAGAACAATTTTTGGTGGCAAATTATGCCACGAGTCAGTATGTAGGCGTCTACCAATTCAAGGGTTTAACATTATCTTTTCCATTATGAATAGATATAATCAACTCATTATCTTAAATCATTACCTCGGAGTAATGAATTAATAATTTTAAACTCTCGGGTACTATACTAGGAAAAAACTTTTAATTCAAATAGGTCCTCATAGTGTCCGAAGCAACTAGCTTGTGCTGGGCCAATGAGGCGTTTGAGGTCTGAGCAAACTCAGACTCGATGCATTATTAAGTGTTGCCTGCATTTCTAGCTTTTTTTTTTTAATTACACAATAATAGTATTGGTTGCCTTTCTCCAATCAATATCGCAGTCGTCTTTTTAGACACAATGTTCCTTCTCATCTTGAGCATGAATTTTCTCTGCGGGGTCCGAAAGTCCTGCAGTGGCTGTAGTCAATCTGTTATTTCAATCAAAATCTCATCGTGAAAGGTCTAATTCACCTCCATTTAACTAGCGATTTGTTATAGTTTCGTCATCGCATTTTTCGCCGAGCACGTGAAAAGGAGCGGGTCTAAACTGTCCTTATCTTACTACAAACTAACAAATTCCAATAACTAATACACTACTTTTCGATACTTGAAGACATGTGCAGAAACCGAAAAAGACACAAACATGCAGGTCTAACAGACCGATATGGTTTTGCTCGGAAACACTTTTTTGAGACAAGAGTACGGAGCAGTATCGAAGACTTGTAATCGATAAGAAACACAAATCTTCAGGTTCAGATATATAATTGATCAGGCATCACATTCTTTTAAATGATGTATAGGTTCTGCATGCTAAACCACCTCAATAATATGCTCACATTGCGCAGGGTAATTTGGAAGCAAACGCGATTGCACTATTCGATGATTTTAAGAATAACTTTTTCAACCATAACGTTTTCATTTGGAATAAAACACGGTTAATTCGAACCGAAGTGGAGTAATCTGCGAGCTCACACAGTCTTCTTTATTGTCATTTTGATTCAAATTTTGAAGTCATAATTTCGTATCTGTGATAATGACTTATGGCGGTCTGTTTCATGGCATCGCAGAAATAAGAAATTGGATTCTACTTTTCATATCATTAACTATGTATCTCGTAATATAAGAGGGCGCCTAAGGTTTTTCAGTTGTTTGTGAGGGTTAAAACATTCCAGCACAATGTAAGAATGTACTAGCCGGAATTGCGATCCCATGTTCAATGGCGCCTTTTTATACCTTATAAAACTACTTCACTAGTACACTGACAAGTATCAGTAATAATAATAATCAGTTTTCGCATAACCTTAGCTTAAAAAATTTCGCTTCACTAATTTTAGTTCACTTGTTACCCATACGCTCAAGTATCGTCGCTTAAGTATCGTTTGCCTAGATTATTTGCTCACAAATCTAACGTTGTACATTGCCCAATTACGATCCAGTTTGTACGTTTGTGTTAGGCTTATTTGTTTCATCTGTGCGCGCGGTAATTTCAAAACTTCAAACGGTGCGCTCGCTGCCCTCTCCTACGTTCGTCGCGTTTCCCTTTCCTGTTCAAAGCAGACGTTCTCTCTGTTATGGGTCAGCAGCACAGCAACAATGTCGTATTTACATTAGACGCTTTAAGGCCCCCCGCGGCCGCTGTACTGTGCTTTGTTTCGCTGCCGTGGCAGGCGCGCTTGCCACTGGTTATCAACAGTAGGGCACCAGTAACTCCGCTATCACGGGCTCTGTACGCCTCCGAGTACATTCTTTCTTGGTTGTACTCTTTCTGTGATCTAAATTTTGTTAAGTTGTAGTTTTCTTCTGCGAACAATGCTGACAGAGCTTTTCCGAGTCAAAAGTGTTCATGTACAGCATATAACGTTCGTTGTACTATTTGATACCATGTAGCTTTTAAGAAATGTGTGTGTATAAATGGCTTAGGTTAGGTTAGATTCTATCGCACCTATGATGATACTGGTGTCTCGGTGTATTCTGATATTGTGCTGGAGGACGAAATGTTACTGTGGAAATGAGTGGGTGCTACCAACGCCTTTTGTGTGGAGTCGGTGCTTGATCGAGCGCTCAGCAATTCTCGATGCGCAAGTGGCTGTTTGTTGATCGAGTTACATTACAGTCTCAGTGCCCTCAAATCCTATCTATTTAACCCGTTAGTCCTCAGTGAAAACCATTAAGCGAAAATCAGTCGTAGGAGGGGATGACATGACCCTTGAGGCCTTAGAGTTTTGCTAGAGTGGATGCTGACTCAAAAAGGTTCTTACGAAAAAGTAAATCATAAAGCTCCACTATAATTTCCCTGCCATTACAGCGATAAGATGGTTTCGGCGTTAATCTCCCGCCTGGTCGTGCTCTTCGTCGGCACGTTGTACCCAGCGTACGGATCTTATAAGGCCATACGAAGCAAAAATCCTCGGGAGTATGTCAATTGGATTATGTACTGGATCTGCTTTGCCCTATTCACATTTTTCGAAACGTTCTCCGACATCTTTCTCGCGTTCTGCGTACCGTTCTACTATGAGCTGAAGATCATATTCCTCGCGTGGCTGCTTTGTCCGGCGACAAAAGGTTCATCGATACTCTATCGCAACTTTGTACATCCGCGCCTAGTTCGTCACGAGCAAGACATAGACGACATGATCTCAACAGCGAAAGAAAATGGTGTCACAGCCATTTGTCAGCTCGGTTCACGAGGGGCACAGTACGCCTCGCAGCTACTAGCATCGACGGCCATCAGAGGACAGCAGGTAAGCTTAACCAGAAATAATTCTTCCAGCATACACAATGCAATTGTTCTACTGACTCTATCATTTATGTGACTTTGATCATATAGATACGCGTCCTTTTACTCTTTCTCTACGTATCCCTCTATTATGTACTTGGATATATGTTAGTTATAAATGACCATTTTTAGTGCATGTAGTCGATGCACTGTGGCCTTGTAGATACTTTTCTAGATTGATACTAATATTATTAATTATCTTTAGCCCTACAAATGCAGCTTTGTCACTGGCTCGACCTCAGTTGACTGCAGTTTTTGGGCAAGCGAATCGAATTGCACTGTTTATAGCACAAGGACGATTGATAAAACAGGCCTTCGCTTATGTTATATCCTGGCTGCCATCGTGTGAAGGCGCTCAATATGGGATGGATCAAGCTAGGACCCAATATGATAGAGTCATTAAGCTGATTGGAAGCACGGAAAACATTATCCTGACAAAAAAAACTGTGTTTTCCTAACCTCGTGTTATTCTCTAAAAATGGAAAGAAATAATACCTTCACGAGCTACCCGTGTTGTTGTGGGCGTAACTAATGTCGCAAAGGTCAATGATCCTTAAAATTGTGTTGTGTGATAAACATTCTCTATATAGGCATGCCATTATGTTTCTGAATTAACCAATAGTTTAATACAAATTCGGGATATCATGAGTCTTCATAAACACTATAAAGGATTATGGCTATTGTGCCGTTTTCTGAAACAATGACGCGTCTTTTATGAAGTTAGCGTTTATTGGTAATAACCAACATTCCTCCCGCGTTATTTAGTATTATGCTCATAATTATTTATAATTGATTTCGGGCAAGTATTAAAATTCGTATTGTTGTAGGCTATTGACCCCCCCCCCCCTTTCACTGCATAATGGAAAATCGAATGCCACTAAGAATGTAATGCTCCGCTTGAAAAGTTGTATCAACATGATTTAATGATAATAAAGATAAACATCATTTTTACTATCATGGTGGAAGGAAGGCGAAAGTTGGGGGGGGGGGGGGGGGGGCTGTTTTCAGCTTACGGTGTGTTTCAGGGCTCTTTTGGCTCCAGTAGCTTTTGCGAGATAGTTTTAGCTCCAAGATAAAAACGTGACCGAACAAATGATTTATTTACGTACAATATTACTTCAATTTGATCAAGAGATAAATAGTCGCTTAAAAATGACACAAACTGTATCTACGTCAGGAGGATAAGCTGAAAGTTAGTACTACGCAGGTGTATCCAGGAAAACATAGTTCAAACAGCTTGGATTTTTTGTGAACTGACATTTCAGAACTCTTCATACTCAAGTTATACAATACAATTAGAAATACAGTACAAACAAAGATATTAAAACATCAAACAAAATGAGGTACGAATTATAGTTTAATGCTGTGACATTAGTGATTATTTGTAAAACACAATGACACTAGCGCTACATGATGTTTTCGAAGCTTTTTGCAATTACATTGACGTATTTGTGACCTATTTCACAATTTAATGAAAAGGCATATTATATGTACGCTGCGGCATTAGAAGATATTCCAGACCTTTTATCCAACTGCTTTGTGTCAGGAATACGTGCTATTACAATCATAGTGTTAGGCTATGGCGTGTCTAATCACTATCTGGTTAAATTAGAAGTTATCGTAATTAGAAAACTATAAGATACTTTAGAAAAAATTTGCGCTTCGAGTACTTTGATCGGACAAAAAATACGGCAACCATCTATATTTTATGTAGTATTAATTTGATTATGTCCTGCCATATGTGAATAGGATTATTAAGATAAATTATAACATAAAGTACTACTTGTATTGGAGCCATATTCACTCTACTTAGGGATTTTTGATAGTACGTTTTATTCGCATATAACACGAGACCCCCGAGTTAATACGAAACGCAAAAAAAATCCGTCAATAGAGGTAAAATCACTCTCAAATATTACTCCATTAGTCAGGATAAAGTTTCGAGAAAATATTTCGGAAAAAGATTCATCGGGCATTAATTCTTACGTTAACTGGTTATTTATACCATCAGTAATTTATATAAGTTACACCACTGATATCTAAGCCTTTAACTTTTCTGGTTAAAAAAGCTCGATGGGCTTTTCACTAGAGAGGGATGTTTGCTGATGATGTCAACGTCCAGATCTGTTCAGACATATGAATATCACTCTGTGACTCGGCATTGTCTCACATTAAGCGATAATAAATTCGTATTTAACTGTAATTATAAATAATGGTTAATTGTTATTTCATAGTAACGGGTTCCTGTAAACAGATACGGATCAAACGTGCCTTACATGATAAAACGTATACGTATTGTACAATCGGTGATCGGGACATTCTATGAATATATTGACGCAAATTTGGTGCACCCTGTGCATGTTCCTTGTGATTTGTGTTTTTACGATTTTATTATCATATTACCGGTTTTTGTAAGATTTTGTGAATGTAAAAAACTTCAAGTAAATTGAACTATACGTGTGCAATACGCTCCAGGTGTTACTTCAGCAGCTCCAACGTTCATATAGCCATGGCGATATAAGAGGCAGTCTACCTGCAATCCTTTCTTCTGTACCTAACGGGCCGACAGGACCCCCATCTTTAGTCGGCGGGTCAGACAGCCTTAATAACAATGATAAACATGAAGTTCGACGGCGAGTCCCAGGCAGTCAAACGACACATGGAGCATCCCGGCGACAAGTTGTCAGCGAGTCACTTCCATTTTCTGATGAAGAAGACGATGATCTGTTCATGATCGACGAAGAACCGATTTCGCTTCAAGAAATGCAGGAAATAGCAGGAGGCGCGAACCATAGAGATGAGCCAGGGTCATCAGGCATAGGCGGTAATACTTCCAAGGATGAGCCACCCAAATTACCAGCCAAAAAGCGAGGTGGGTTGCTTTACTTTTTTTATAACTATGTAAACTTAATTTCAGACAATAATACAAGAGTTAAGACACAAAGAGACACTATACAATAAACCACGACAGTTGTTTGCCGAAAATATGTTTTGGACCCAATATTATTCAAAAAATTACGCACAAACTAAGCTATAAAGTGCAGCGTATGAGGTTATTACCATTAAGTTGTGTATTCATCATTCACAAGTCTAATTAGAAAGAAAACGCCTACTGCGAAAGTATGAACAGATTAAAAAAAAAACTAATTAATTAGATGCACCCATAGACGTGGATACACCAATCAAAATAAACAAATTTAAGCATATTGGGTCTAAACCGTTTGCAAAATGTTAGTACATTTTTTACCAACAGTTTACAGTATTGCTTCTATTTTCATCTTGTTAAGCATCCAACTAAAGAGACTATGCAATTCACGCAAGAGCGCCCAAACGAAACATTTATGCATATTTATTTAATTCAAATTTTACTTGACTAGCTAATGCGCATGTACAATTGTATGCAGTATTTATATATATATATATGGTAGTAAATATCTAGTCTACGTTCTGTCCACATAGACGTGACAAATAGATTTGTTTCATGTCAACGAAGTTCGTCTCTAGTCCTGCGCATCTATATTAACACCGTTAAAGGCAAAAAATAGAGGACTTGACAGATAGTATGATAGCCGTATTATTTGAAAACCCTAAACCTAGTGACAGTTTTTAGGAATAAGTAAGAACTCAAAGGACAATAGCATGACAATAGGGCGAACCAGTTTTTGGCGGCTGAGCCAGGCTCTTGCTTCTGTTTAGTTGGTCGCTAGTAGCTCAGCTCCTTTGATTAACGTTAGTCAGAGATAGTCTGACAGCAGCTGACTCCTGCACTTGTTCCATTTAGTTGTTTCTGTTGACTGTATCGGCTGTTGACTCTGACGACGTTATCATAACGTAGCAGTCATCGCAGAGAATGTAGAAGCAGCAGCCGCTGTAATAGCATTAGAGCGCTGACCTTATACGCGCGCAGAGGCACATTTGTAAGTGATCGCTTGTTTCTGTGAAGCAGATACATAAACTGTGCGTATTAGCCAGGAGTCGTTGTACGACAAAGAACATAAACGCAAACGTGGCAAAGCCCATATGTAAATAGATTGTTTAAATTTTCGTGGCTTTTCCTTTCGGCCAAAAACTGCTCACAATTTTTTACACAAGTACATTATTCTAGGTTTTATACGCTATGGAAACCGAGAAACGATATAGCACAGTTATAGGTATTAAGAACTCTAATGGTTAAAAGAAAATTTTACTATGATGATCTAGTTGAATATTACTTTCTAAATTTGACCTGCTTGATGTGCTAGAAAAAGAACTAATTAATATGTATCGAAGTATGTAATACAAGACTAAGCTTTTTATGTAGAATCAGTAATTATTGTCGACTGCATATGATTATATATGAAGAAACTGAAAATGTACATGTGTGAATGTCCAGTAACTGATAATATTGAATGAGTGAACTAACCTAAATTTACACCTCTGGTGGGATGTTGCATGTGTGCTTTCATGGTATGCTTTGTTGTGCGTTTGCTTCTTGGTTTTTGTTTGACCTCGCGTGTGGATGGTCTCTCTATGTTCTGTTCTTGATATGTACTTATTTCGTCGACAAGACGGGAACCATCTAGGCTATACCGTCGAGATGGCGAGTGATGATAGCAGTGACGAAACAGAGGACAGTTCCACGGATCAGACCAGTCAAGATGAGGAGATGGACGACGATTCTGGTGGCTTCGTAAACGATAATTTTTTTCGCGGTGAGAGCTCGAATTAACAAGATACTCAATACACCGATTTAGTCGTCAGCATGAGTTAGATATGATAGTATATTTAAACCAAGTTTAGTTGTTTGTCTGGTCCTTCGTTTGGAAACGAAGCATCATTTCCAGATAAGTTTCCATTGTCGGTCAATAGTTTATGCAGTTTCTTTGCTCTGTTGGATTCAGTAAATTTTACCGTACTAACGCGATTGTGAATTACATAGGATTAGACGTTTCAACCTAATAAGAACTATTAGTTTTCTATAAAGGGTGTAATAAGGCTAAGCTTATAGTGGGGAAAGATTAAACCCCAGAAACTTTCAACATAGTTTTTAGTAGGATTTAAATTTAAATGGGTGCTGCGTTAACAATAAGCTGGCCTCTCCACTTGACAACATGTTATTGATTATATACGCAACTTAGTTTTTTTCCATTATAAACCTGTTTTCACCGCATTCTCTAGAGCATTTGGAATTCCCTTCAGCATTGTTGATGGTTTAATTTTAAATTATTAGGAAATGTTGTTACGAGCTGTTACACGCCATTCTTAGAGCAAACCTGCTCTAAATTCATGTACGGGTTTTGGTGAGGGGTTTAAACGGAGAATTGTAGGATAGTTTTACATAAAAAAAGCCATGATAATGATTTGACGATTCTGTTGTATATTACGTATTTGCTGTACCGATGTATCTAGAAGCGTAAAGAAAAGGTTTGTGGGGCTGAGTAATTGAATAGTTTCGACCAGAATTGCGTCGTGAATTGGGTTTCTTAACTTTAAAAAGTTAACATGTTTGTTCGCTGTGATAGCACGTAGTAAAAATTAATAGGACAGTTAATACCCAAATTAATAGCTGCACTGTCAAAGGCTTTCACTTGCCTGTTGAATGATATAATTTTAAACTGGTAGGTACTGCATTTTCCAGCTTCCATTTTTAATGGAGTAATAATAATAATATTAATAACTCTAATAATAATAATAATAATAATTAATAACTGAGACTGCTTATTCATGGAAACGCCAACTATTATTGGCTATCATGGTCAAAATAGATTGATTGCGGTTCTTAAATTACTATATATTTATTCCATGAGTGCAGTAATATAAGCCTGTCTTCCCGATGCAGCTAGCCTAAATATATATATACAATTATGTACATATTAAGTACAATTATGCTCGATCCTTATGAATCAATGAGAAAGCACAGGTTTACACTCTTGTAGCGGTTTATTGTTTGACGGACGTAACGGGCGTACACGGACAATAGTCTACAGTACATTTTACTACACCATGCCCTATATAAAAATCCAATTTGCCCATGACGTTTTGCATAAGGCACATGGCATCGTCTTTATTAGCAGTGGTATGATTTATCCTATATGCTGTTTCCTGATAAGTATTCTGATGTACGTTGATGCACTGCAGCCAATTTCTTTTCAAGCTACTACCTGGTTAAAAGTCGCTTTGAGCAATTGTTTGTTTGCAGGCATATAGATATTGAACTTGAAGTGCTTTCATCGTGAACGAAGAAATTATCCTTTTTCAGTTATCAGTTTCGCTAATGCTTTACTTTGAGCGATGGTTGTTGATGATATATTTACCCACATCTTCTCCGTTTAAGAAGTTTTCGTAACCGATTGCCTCGATTGAAGGGGCCGGACAATCGAATTGAACACGTTTTCACGAGTGCAAATGCTATCTAGAATGTAAAAATGTTTAAAATGTACCATGATTTAAAGTACTAACTAGTTAATCGTATAGCAATTGTCAGCGATTGTAATTACGAAACATGCGTTGTTACTCGACAACTAGTTCCATAATCACTACAAGTTAATTCAACACAGACATTAGAAGCACCCATATTTTTGCTAATATTCTTGTATTAAATATGCATGTAAGCTGGTGAAGTCCGATGATGGTATAGTAGGTCAATGACACGGTTGTCATCCTCAGTGTTGTACAATTCTAATACGTAGGTAAAATGTGATATGTAAGTGAGAAAAGAGGAATAATAAATTTGTCTGGAGTTCCTTATTGATTCTTATTCACCCAAGATTAGATTTTCAAACAAAAGCACACGCATGTATCAAACGATAATCCATTATAACTGTTGTCGCTATATTACCCGCGATAAAAAATAATTCTATTATTTCTGTTAGTTAACGTTAACAAGTTCTAGCGTGGAACTTTTTGGACATCGCAGCTATAGATGAAACACAAAGCAGCTATCTCTCCCATCCATTCGTATTATGTGGATGAGTACTAAACCTTTAGCGGATTCCTCACAGTCACTTCTGAGTCGAACATTGTAAATTGGTTTGATACATATTATCATTGATTGTAATGTTTTGATAGCTATTATCACTGTTGACCGGAGCTACAAATCACTTCAACAATATTTACTAATCGGGTGAGACCGTGTATGCGCCACTGACAAATGGGACCCCATGTATCCGTCCCTTGCTTTCACACCGATTACTCAGCTTCGGTTCAATATGCAGTCGATGGTAATAATGATGGCGAAGCGAAGTGGAGACCTTTTCAAGGAAGCTGGCCCTAGCACTGGCCGTATCGAGCGTAACCGCGACTCTTGCTTATTAATTGTGGCGTTGCAGATGCGTTTGTTTCTGTTGCACAGTCACGGCTTGTCCAAATATCCGACCGTCATTAACGCAACTGACAATTAGACCCATCAAAACAATCGTTTCGTTCCAATACAATACTAAAAGGACTGACGTTGTAGCGCGCGATCCTGGCTGGCTGGCTGGCTGGATGGATCCCAGTACCTTCTGCACGTACGGCAGCAGATCTCTAAGTGATATGTTTTTTAACGTCTGAAAGAGAGATACCGCATTAGACAAGTCGTCTTAGAAACGCGTCTTTAGCACTAAGAAGGTTACAACAGAAAATTTCCGAAATTAATGATCGGTTAGCCGATAGAGAGACACATTTGCTTCTGATTTTCCAGTTTCGTTGAGTAGACACTAAGGCAAAGAGGAGTTTAAATGGCTGTCCGTTTTGGTGCATTGTTATCAGCAGTGTGGCTGTGTAACCCTCAATAGCAGAAAGTATTCTCCTTGGTTATATAACTAATTAGTACTAATGTTATACATACAGATCTTCTGGAATTAATAAGAAGGCTAACAAATATGCGCTGTACAACAATTATCGTAACTTGATTTTAATTAAGCTCTTATTTCTGTTACGGCCTTGTAAAAGGCATAGTGAAATATGTTAAAAGACTGCAATCTGCTCTATACAAACGATTTCACTGTATTTTATTATTAGATTTCACTGTTTTTTTTTATTATTTGCGGCCATACTATTATAGAAATAGTTTGCTGCTGCTGCTGCTGCTGCTGATGGAGAAAGAAGTGTCCGAACATTTTCTTAGCCTTTAGATTTTTAGCGAATATTATAATCGATGTGTTTATCACTTTCTCCAAATGGAACGAACTAGGGACCCGTGTCCTACGAAAAGTGTCCTATACCATTGTGCTTTAATCAATAATCACGCGAAGTCTTCTCAACAATAATATTAATGTTTAAGTAGCCTTCACAACGGTCCACTGTCATGATCATGGTCAGCTAATATATCACTTCGCATTGGAATTACATAGACAGCAGAGAAAAGCAGATACAATGCTTATTTATCCATAATGATTCTACATCATCCTGTTGTTATCTGTTTTCTGCTTCAGTTGTATGGGCATGCCTAAACATGTCTTCTAGTGCTATCAGATGTTAGTGGGTTGTATTTCCGCTTGTGGCAGCGGACAGTTACAGCCCACAGTGTCCACGCGTGTTGTGTGATCAACCAATGCTCACGAAAAATAGAAACTCTTAAACTAATTGCTTTGAGCGGCCTTCTTTGTGCGGTTGCAGTTTCTGCTACTACTATTATTAAATTGAAGGCTATTAGGCGTGACTGTTTGTATATGGCTGAGGTTATTGCCTCATTGTGGTAGGCCACCTCGCTGATGAGGAGGACGGTATTATACAAACGCAGGTTCCACACCTACAGCCAGCACCTGACTTCGGACTTATGGCCGTCGTCTGTAACGTATACGTATGGAAGACAATGTGACTCCATGCATTTGGAAAGCCACTACTTGGAATCTGCGTTACGTCCAGGTTACAAGCGGCTTTCATGCTCAGGTTACACAGAATAAGGAATTTAAATTTTTCTCGTCCTTTTCGCTAAATATTACGGCGTTAGATCTTGTTACATGACAGAGGTGTGTTATACTTGGTTGTGGCGTATATTTGCCTGTCATGCAAAATAACTCGTAAATGCGATACAGAATCTGGACGTCGTTAGGCGGAGGGGGCTAACTTGCGACGCTGCCCGTCGATACGGCAAGAGTTGCAGGGACCTGACTGTATGATAAGGTTTCGCCGATCTATTGGATGCGGATGAACGTACAAAATAGCTGGCGCTAAGACGTGTCCTCCTGACTAAGGAAAGGGCTTTAAGCGAGACTTCCCGATAGACCGCAAATATCAACCACAGACACCCGACTTCAAACAAGTCAGATCGGGTATATATACTTGATGAACGACCAATCGTATTATGTAGAGGGACTTAACGAAAGCATCTGTATTTATAGGCTGAAGAAGTTTTCAGAACATATTATTTTCAGTCTCTCAAGCGAACGACTCGTCACGTGACAATACGGTTTTCATGTGCGTACGTGCGTTCATCGCTTTTGTCAATAAGCAAATCTAAAATCTCCTAATACATAATTTAAAAACATTTATGGCTACTTAAATCATTTAAGACAGGAAGATGAGTTGTATCACGAGGATAGCCGGTATCGGTCTGAGCTCAATTGTAACGAATCTATTTTATTGTGATATTGTTCCCGCCCTCGCCATCTACTCGGCCTTTTTTAATACGGCACAGTGATGTTGGGTCATGTTAATGTGAGTTCGTCCAGATTAAGCCTTCCACTGGTGAGATATTATATATGGTAGAAACACATCACGACGAGTCGCT